CTAATGCAGGTGGATTGAAAGAAAATGGGATGTGTGTGTGTATAAATATGTGAAAATATCAAGTATAAACAACCCTAAAGGGGAATGGAGAAACAGGATGTAGTATGTATAGGCTACAGTGGTGTATAGTGTGTGTGTGTGTGTGTGTGTGTGTGTATGCTGAAATGATCAAGGATATCTCTCTCTCTCTCTTTCTCTCTCTCTCTCTCTCTCACACACACACACACACACACACACACACAGCGTTGGAGATGAAACCCAGAGCCTCAAGCATGCCAAGCACAAGCTCTACCACTAAGCTATGTCCTTAGCCACTCTGATTTGCATAACTTGTGAGATGCCAGGTAGAAGTAGTCATAAGGTAGGTAGACTCCAACAGACCCAACCTAGCAATAATCTTGTGTGTTACTTGTGGGTACCATCACCAAATCATAGAATCATAGCTACAGGAATGGAAGGGCCTAAGATCATGAAGGGCTTAAGATCATTAGGAAATTGAGGGCCAGAAAAGGGAAGTGTTTGCTCAATCTCTGGGTCAGTGTTTGCTCAATCCCCTTGAAGGTCCTCCTTCTGCAGCACACAGCAGCACATAGCAGCCTTTGCCCTGTGCTGTGGAGTCAAGCTGTGATCCTGTGTCACTAGACAAACCAGCACGATGGCACAGGTGCTAAACAGAGGACAAGGGACTTTAAAGGCACCAAATGATTTTGTGGCATCACAGCTCCTGCCAGGACTGCAGAGGCAGGTCCACATTGTGCAGAGAATCCAGGTCCAAGCATGCCACACCCATCATCCCAAGCAGGTTCTTCAATGCACTGAGGGAGGAAACACGGGGAGAGCCCATTGGAGGAGTCAATCTAAAGCCTTCCCAACTAGTTCTTTTACAGCTACAATTTTTTTTTCCCTAGGAATTGCCAATAAAAATAGCCTGTAATCCCAGTGGCTCAGGAGGCTGAGGCAAGAGATCACAGGTTCAAATCCAGCCTCAGCAACTAGTGAGTCCCTAAGCACTYAGCAAGACCCTGTCTCAAAATAAAAGTATAAAAAAGGGCTGGGAATGTGGTTAAGAGCCCCTGGCTTCAATCCCTGGTACAAAAAAAAAAAAATCATTGTCAACAAAAGCATGTAAAGATATACATGAAAGGCTACTCACTGACACTTTCTTGTGGTGGTGATGGTTCTGGGGATTGAACCCTTGGCCTTGCACATGATAGGCAAGCGCTCTACCACAGAGCTCTATCCCCAGCTGAGGCTTTGTTTTTAATAGCAAAAGTCACAGRTGATGTTCACTTAAGTTACCTTGGGGCAACAGATTGGGAAGACTTATTCTTTTATGTCATTCCTTTCCATATTGTTTGAATTTGTTATGAATATATTGTATTATGTTTATAATTCAAAATTAGTAAAGATTCAAAAGACAAACCCTTCACTGATTTGAAACAATGTTCAAAGGATGGCAATGTGAATTGCTTTATTATTTGTTCTTATTTATTTTATTGAATATTTACATTGAACAGAGATAATATTTTATTGTTTTCTGTGGTACTAGGGATTGGACCCAGGAGTGCTCTACCACTGATCTACATGCCCAGCCCTTTATATTTATTTATTTTGAGACAGGATCTCAATAAATTGCCAAGGCAAGCCGCAAACTTTTGATCCTCCTGTACCAGCCTTCTGAGTTGCTGGGATTATAGATGTGTGCCCAGCAAGAGAGATCATCTTTATAAAAATATTAAAGCTAGAATGAAAAATTCTTTGGGCTGGAGATGTAGCTCAGTGGTAGAGTACTTGTTGCCTAGCATATTCTTGGCCCTAGATTCAATCCTGGCATGCATGAATGCGTGCATGTGCATAAACACACACAAAKCATTCCCTGGTGCTATAGTTTAAATCTTGAACATTCCCCAAAGGCCTATGTGTTGAAGGCTTGGTCTCAGGRTAACAATGTTGAGAAGTGGTAGAACTTTTAGAGGGCAGGACCTAGTGAGATGTCATGCCTTTGAAGGAAATTATGATTCCCTTCCCCTTTATCTGTGCTTCCTAGACATGAGGTGACCAGTTCTGCTCCACCACATACTCCCACCATGATGTGCTGCCTCACAGCCCCAAAACAATAGGTTCCACCAATCATGGACTGGAACTTCCAAAACTGTGAGCCAAAAAGAATCTTTTCCCTTTATAAGTTGATTACCTCTGGTGTTTTATTATAGTGACAGAAAGCTGCCTAACATCTGGATTTCTAGTTTTCAAAATAGAAAATGTCTCACCCACTGAGCAGAGACAGCAAGTTATCCCAAACACCCATTCTTCCTTTCTATAGCAGGCAAACCGTGACTTTTTAAGCAGGGTACATATTATCTTAGAATACCTACTCCATTCAACAGCCTCTCTCACAGCCAGGTAAGGTTGTGTGACTAATTTCTGTCCAACAGAATAAGAGCACAGGTGATATATATGTACAGTGTCTACATTCTGCCCTTGAAGAACAGAATACATATCAAAACTATACTGAAATACAGTTCTCATTTGTCAGATTGGCAAAAATCTAAAGCACAAATGTAAGCTGTTGGTAACATTGTGTGGAAATAGGCACTGACTTACAGTACTGATAGTAATATAAAATTATATAAGCCCTACAAAATTTGGAAATATCTTTTAAAAATGACAGCATATTTTATTTACCTTCTAACCTAAGGGCAATCTCATTCCTAGAAGTTTACCCTAAAGATAAACCCCCAACAATATAAAACTACATATGTACAAGGTTATTCATTGTGGCATTATTTGTAATTGCAAAATAGAGAAAACAACCTAAGTGTGCCTCCATAAGAGACTAGTGGAGTAAATTATAATCCATCCACATAATGCAGTACTGTGAAGACCCTAAAAAAGTGAAGAAGAGCTCTGTGAAGTCACACAGTGGGACTTCCAATATGTGTTGTTGGGTTAAAAAAAAAAAAGAGCACAAAATATCTAGGCACTATGCAAACATTCCAATTTGTTTAAGAAGAGGGTAATGAAAGAATGGGGTAGAAAAGATAATGAGACAAGTAACTACTCTAGTTACCTGGGTTTTTTTGTTTGTTTGTTTTTGTATTTTTTGTATAGTTTTGACTTTATGGTTAATGTTTCACATATTCAAAAATTGAATTAAGTTGGGGCTGGGGTTGTGGCTCAGCGATACAGTGCTCACCTAGCACATKTGAGGCGCTGGGTTCGATCTTCAGCATCACATAAAAACAAATAAATAAAATAAAGTTATTGTGTTCAACYAMAACTAAAAAATATTTTTAAAAAACTGAATTAAGCCAACAAGAATGGGGGAAAACAAAATACAAATGAAAAAGTGAACCACACTGTGTTTTAAATTAATAATACAAAGATAAAGAAAAAACAAAAATTAATCCAACTAACTTTTAAACATATTACTTTGTATACCTTCAATCAGTAACCAAAAACACTCTAGAGAAACCTATGTAAATAGACATAGTTTGTATATATGTATATAATTAGATATGACATCTTTGAGCTCTGTCCACTGAGAAAAACAAGGAGCAGCAATGCCCTGTGCTTCTTAGAAATGAGCACACCTGATCCCCAGATTGTGGTGTGTAAAAGGAACCAGGTACAAACACAGAGACACGTATGTGAATGTTCATAGAAACATTGTTCAAAATGACCAAAAATCTAAATATCTTAATCCAAATATTCATCAACTACTGAATGGAAGTTTTAAAAGTGCAGCATATCCATATGGTAGAGTATTTTTCAGCAATAAAAAGGAATGAACTACTGATACATGTTATGACATGGACGAATCTCAAAAATATTATGCTAAGTAAAAGAAGCCTGGTGTAAGACTATGGATTATATAATTGTGTGTATGTAAAATGTCCAGAAAAAACAAATCTAAAGAGATAATAATGGTAACCTGAGGGCTTGAGGTAGATGTGGATTTAACTATAAATGGTCAAGAGGGAAAATACTAAATGAGGGACATGCTTTAAAACTAGATTGCACAGGAGGCTGAGTCAGGAGGATCGCAAGTTCAAAGGTAGCCGCAGCAACTTAGCAAGGATCTAAGCAACTTAGTGAGACCCTGTCTCAAAATAAAATATGAAAAGGGCTGGGGATGTGGCTCAGTGTTAAGTATCCCTGGTTCAATCCCCAGTACCCCCCCCCAAAAAAAAAAAAAACTGGATTGCAAGGGAAATGGGGACTGAAATGGACTAAATCAAATTCCATGAATGTATGATTTTTGCCTAAAATGAAACCAACTATTATATATAACTATAGTGCTCAAAAAAACAAAACTAGATTGTAACGATAGTTAACCTAATCTCTACATCAGGGGAACAGTCCCTTAATTACTTTTGTAGCCTCATGTCCCAGTGCTTCCCTTTATACACCCTAAATCTCTCTTGATGTCCCAAAAGAGCTTCATGGTTCCAAGACTTTGCTTGGGTTAGTCCTTCTGTCTGACAGGTCATTCTTCCCAGTTTCCACTGATGAAAGCATTATTTATTCTCCACAGCCCAGGACAAATGTCACCTCCTCTATCATGCCAGAATCAGTCCCTTCCTTCTCTGTACTCTCTTGAACATTCTTGCACGTCCCTGAGAATGCTCTTCATTCTAATTCTTCAGCTGTGACTATGCATGGTGTCCTCTCACCACCAGACAGTGATTTCCTTGGGGAAGAGACCATGTCTTATTCTTTTACTGAACCTAGCAAAGTGTCAGGCACATCATTAACACTTGGCAAATAAATAAATGAAGGAATGGATGGATGGATGGATGGATGGAGAGATGGCTGGCTGGCTGGCTGAATGGATGGATGGAAAAGCTATGAAGAACAATGAGAAGCCAGAAGGGAAAGGTACAGGTTATTTTAAGGAACAGAGGAACCAGTGGTTAGAAAAGCAATTAAAAAAAAAAAAAGCTACAAAGAGTAACTACATATAAAGGATAAAGGTGAAGAAAATGGTCTTCTCTTACCTTTAACAAACAGCCAGCAAATACAAGGAAGCCTTTCGAATGCAGATGCTTGGCCAAGGAGAACCCAAATCCAGAGTCGCAGCCTGTGATCAGGACAGCTTTGCTGCCAACCTATTTTAGAAGGTCAGACCCCAAATTAGGAATGCAGGGTCTCAAGGCAGAGTGACCAGGTCCCCTACCCTCTGGATCGCAACAGTTAGTGCTGAGTAGCCCAGGCCTGGCCCTCCACTCTTGGCTGGGCTATCTGGAGAAACAGTAAACTACAACATGTACTGCAAAAACCTGGAGTCAGAATCAGGAGACCAGGTTCCACCCAGACTCTGCCGCCAACTATCAAGGCTGCTGGTTTCAGGATCTCAGTTCCCTCAGTTACAATCACTATTATCATCATTGTCATCATCTTCATCATCAGAGCTCTGCTTCTCAAGTGCAATACTGACTGTGTGAAAGGCTCGGTGTCCTTCTTATCTCACAATTACCCACATAGAAAGCATGATTACTGCACCCTGTTACCAGTGAGAAAAAAGACATGTTTTCAATGACCTATGTAGTTAGCTAGAATGGAAACCAGGGCAGAGAGATTTCAGAGTCTACCTCTTAAGCCCCAACCTGCTGGGTCGGGGGGAGTTCTGGCTCCCCAGCAGGTCTCCATGACATCTCTCTGGCTGAGAGGGGCGGGAGKACCTCATCACAGCTCCCTGCAGGTCTGGGAGTGTTGGTCTCACTACTGATGTGGGGCTTAAGGGTAAGGATAAATGAGAAAGTGGTTCACAGTATCCTAACATACTAAGACCCTACTGTGAGGATGGCTCCGGGGCTGGGGTCCAGAAGGAAGGGCTCTGACCATCTGGCTGGTTCCCAGGGAATTGGACTTCCACTCACCGGGTCCACCTCACTGGCGTAAGTCCGGCGCCTGATACAGGTGAAGGAGGTAGAGCAAAACAACARTGTGCGTCTGCAAGGAAAAAAAAAGTCATGAGCATGAGGCTAAGCTCCCACCCTAGACCTCATTCCTGCAGCAGAAGTAACTAGGACATGCTCAGCCAGCCTAGCCTAAAGCCCCATGGATTATCTCCTCACTCCAGGCTCTGGGGACAACTTGCTAGTAAAGCTGAGGGAGAAGCCCTGTTTCCACCAGGTGGCTAGGCTGGTAGAGAGTGAGCCAGCATTTGCAGTAGCCATTGTAACTACTGTACAGGAAACGTCATCCTGAGAATAAAGCCAACCCGGAAGCACTTTTGCTGGGAGGCCCTGCCAAAACCTGACTGTCTGGTGTCCCACTCCAGTAAAGTTCTACTTCCTGTTTTTCAAGGTGACACAGACAGGCAGTGTTTCAGACCAATTCAAGTGTGAAATGTTCTTTCAGAGATATATCTTTGTTAAAGCCTTCTACAAATTCAGTGTCTGCTGAATTTAATGCTGCTTCTTCATAGTTATTTTAATTAACCCTTTTATTTTAAAATAATTGTAAATTCATATGCAGTTAAGAAATAATACAGGGTGTAACTCCACATTGTATACAACCACAAGMATGGGAAATTATACTCCATGTACATATAGTATATCAAAATACATTCCACTGTCATGTATAATTATGAAGAAGAAATAAAAAATTATTATATGTAATAAAAAGAAAGAAAGGAAGAAAAAAAAAGAAAACAGGAAGATGTTAGGCACCTTTTGCCCAATTTCCCTTAATGATAACATCTTGCAAAACTATACTAAAAGTCAGGGTGTCATAGTGCACCCCTGTAATCCCAGTGACTCAAAAGGCTGAGGCAGGAGGATTGCAAGTTTGAGACCAGCCTGTACAACTTGGTGAGACCCTGTCTCAAAATAAAAAAAWTTTTTWAAAGGGCTGGAAATATAACTCAGTGGTAGAGTGCCTCTGGATTCAATCCCTAATATTACAAACCAAACAACTAATCATACAACAATATCACAACCAAGATATTGACATTGAAACAGTAAAAATACAGAACAATTCCAACACCACTACATGGTTCCTGTGACCCTATTAGAGCCACTCCTACTCCTTCCCACCCTACCCTCCTCAACCACTAATCTGTTCTCTATAATTTTGTCATTTTAAGAATGTTATACTGGGGCTGGGGATGTGGCTCAAGCGGTAGCGCGCCCGTCTGGCATGCGTGCGGCCTGGGTTCGATCCTCAGCACCACATACAAACAAAGATGTTGTGTCTGTTGAAAACTAAGAAATAAAATATTAAAATTCTCTCTCAAAAAAAAAAAGAAAGAAAGAAAAAAGAATGTTATACTAACAGCAGAAAATAGTAAGTCGTCTTTGGGGTTTGGCTTTTTTCATTCAACTAATTCTCTGGAGATCCATGCAGATTGTTGTATATATGGAGCTTTCTCTTTTTATTGCTAAGTAGTGCTCTGTGGCTTGGGCATTTGTTTGACTATTTACCTACTGAAGGACTTCTGGGTTGTTTCCAGTTTGGAGTTATTATGAATAAAATTGCTATGAACATTCTAAGACAGGTTTTTGTACAAACATTACGTTTTTTATTTCTCTTGGATAAATGCCCAGGAGTACAATTGTGATAGTTGTATGTTCAGTTTTTAAAGAAACTGCTCAATTGTTTATAGCTACAGAGTGGCTGGAGCACACATACGACATTCCCAGTAGAAATGTAGTAACCCATATCCTTGCCAGCATTCAATAGTGCCACTAATTTTTGTTTTAGCCATGCTGAAACCTGTGTAATGATGATTTCACTGCGGTTTTAATTTGCATTTCTTTAATAGCTAATGATGTGGAACATCTCTGTGTTCATTTGCCATCTGTCTTAGTTTGGGCAACTGAAACAAAATATCAGTTTGGGCTGCTCAAACAACAAAGTGGCTTATAAAGTAGCAAACATTTTTCACAGTTCTGGTGGTCAGAAAGACCAAGATCAAAGTATCAGCAGACTATATCTTGGAAGAGACCATTTCCTAGATACACTGATGACTTTTTCACTATAACTTCACATGGCAGAAGGGGAGGTCTTAGACCTCTTTTAGAAGGACACTAATGCCATGCCAAGGGTTCCACGTCCATGATCTAGTCACCTCCAAAGGCCCTGACTCCTAATACCAACAGCTGGGGGATAAGAGTTTGAACATATGAATCTAGGTGGAATACAAACACTAAGACCACAGCACCACCTGCATGCCCTCTCTTCATGTGTTCTGTCTATATTTTAAATGGATTATTTAACCTTTTGCTATTGAATCTTGAGAATCCTTAAGATGTTCTAGATACCTTGGTTACATATGTGATATACAAATGTTTTCTTCTAGTCTGTAACTTGTTATTTGATCCTGTTACGAGGATAACAGGATCAAATACAGGGAAAAAACTGTTTCTCTTCCTTTTTCTTTTTCCTTTTTTAAAATTTTTTATTTTTTTATTTTTTGTGGTACTAGGGATTGAACTCTGGGGTACTTTTTACCACTGAGCTAAACCCCCAGTCCTTTTTAATTTTGAGACAGGATGTCACTAACCTGTTGAGGCTGGCCTTGAACTTGCAATCTTCCTGCCTCAGCCTCCCAAGTCGATGGGACTACTGGCCTGTGCCATTGCACCTGCCTACTATTTCATTTTGGTAGTCTGATTGATTAACTTTTCCTTTTATGGGTCTTGCAGGACTTGGCCTAATTCTAGAACCCGAAGATTTTCTTCCATGTTTTTTCCTAAAACTTTTATAGTTTTATGTTTTGCATTTTAGTCCATGATCCATTTTGAGTTTATTCTCATGAGACTTAGGTCAAAGGATAGTTTTTGCCTATGAATTTCCAGTTGCCCCTGTATCATGTTTTGAAAAATGTTATCTTTCCTCCATTGAATCACTTTTGAACTTTTGTCAAAAACCAGTTGAATATATCTGTGTGGGTCTACTTCTGGATTATCTGTTCTGTGCTCCTACCTTATTTTCCTTTTTGAAAGTTGTTCTAGAATTCCATTTCTTTTGCTTTCCATATCAGTGATAGAATAATCTTGTTTTTATCTACAAAAAAAATGTGACTGGGATTTTGATAGAAATGGTGCTAAACCTGTATAATCAGTTGGACAGAACTGACATCCTCACTTTGTTGAAGATGCCTCTGAATACTCCATTTATTTAAGTCTTTGACTTCTTTCATCAGTGTTTTGTAGTTTTTAGCAAACTCTGGGAATGTTTTTGTTTTATTTATACCTAAGTACTTCTCTCTGTTGCTTSCAATGCTGGGGATTTAAGCCAGGGCTTCACACATAGGCAAGTGCTATACCACTGAGCTTCAAACTGCAAACACACATTGCCCCCACCCCTGTTTTTTTTTGAGTAATCGTAAATGGTATTGTTTTAAATTTTGGTATCCACATGTTTGTTGYTAGTATATACAAATACAACTGATTTCTTTTTTGGAGGCAGGTACCAGGGATTGAACTCAGGAGCATTMAATTACTGAGCCACATCCCCAGCCCTATTTTGTATTTTATTTAGAGATAGGCTGTCACTGAGTTACTTAGCATCTTGTTTTTGTTGAGTCTGACTTTGAACTGGCAATCCTCCTGCCTCAGCCTCCCAAACCACTGGGATTAGAGGTGTGAGCCACTGCACCTGGCACAAATACAATTGATTTTTGTGTTATCTTGTATGTTATAACCTCACCAAACTCACTTATTAGTTCTGAGAGTTTGTTTGCCTTTGTGTGTGTGTGGTGGTGGTGGGGGGTAGATTCCTTGGGATTTCCTATGTAAATAATTATGTAATGTGCAAATAGGAACATTTTTATTTCTTCTTTTCTGATCTGTATGACTTTATTTCTGTTTTTTGTCTTATTGCCCTGGCTGGAACTTGAACACTCTGTTGGACAAGTGGTGTGAATAAACATCTCCACCTCAGGGCAAACTGTGGATCTTAGCTGCAGGTCTATTGTAAATGCTTTTTACTGTAGTCAGGGAGTTCCWGTTTATTTTTCCGAGCATTTGCATCATAAGTGATTGATAATTTTGCTTTTGCTTCATTGATAGATAGGATCAGGCCATTTTTCTTCTTTAGTTCACTAATTCGATTTTCAATTAATGAGCTGTTCTGACATCCCTGGAACAAACACGTTTGCTCATGGTTTATAATTCTTTCTAAACAATGCTGAATTCTATTTGCTAATATTTTAAGGATTTTTTTTTTTACATCTATATTCATGAGGAATTTGGGTCTGTAGCCTTCTTTAATCTTTTTATTGGTACTGTGTTTGGTTTTGGAATCAGGATATACCAGTTGCATAGAATGAGCTGGGGGTTACTTCTGGGTGGAGGTGAGAGTTCTGGCTCCCCAACCAGGCCTCCACTGATACCTCCCTGGCCAGGTAGAGTCACAGTGTCCTGTTTCTGCTTCCAGAGTTTACAGGAGAGTGTGTCTCATCACTGAGAGTGATGGAGAACGTCCTACCCTCCACAAGGCCTCCTCCGACACTCCCCGTCCTGAAGAGCAAAACAGAGGTGCCTATTCCTGCTGAGTGGGCATGGTGGTCCTGGTCCCTCCTTGGTTTTCTCTGCTGCTGCCCCTAGTTGGGGGTTGGGGTCCCTGTCCACAGCCTGGTGAGGTGGAAGTCTAGGCTCCCCACTGACCTTTGCTGGAGGGAAACGGGTGAGGCCACAGCTTTTTCTGTGTTTGACTGGAATAGAGCCATCATTGACTAACAGTTTTGTGTCTTGCTAGGCTGGTTCCTTGGCTAGAAAGAGAGCAAGCTTTTGTTGGGTCTTTTTGTATCTGAGCTCATTGGTGTTTCAGGGCTGCCAGCTCGATGTCTGGCGTATGTGAAATAGAAAGAAAACCTAGAAAATGACTATTTCATTTCCTGGATCCTAAGGACCCTAGCTGGTCTGCCTTCTTTCCATCTTTTAGAGCCTTTTTATGCTCATTTCATATAACATCCAAGGTTTTTAGATGTACTGAGCAGGAGGAATAGAGAAAAGTACATCTACTCTATCTTTCTAGAAGTAAAAATTCCTTTAGTTTATTTTTTATTATATGCGGTGTTGGGGATGAAACCCATGGCCTCGAGCACACTAAGCACATGCTTTACCACTGAGCTACACCCTCAGCCCCTCTGTTAGTTTTAAAATTAATATTAAACTAATAATAATAAGTRAAGGAAGTAGGGGCAAGTGAGTAGCCGGCAATAGGGGAGAAGAGATGGGAGAGAGATTTGTTTTTTCTGCCTACCATTTTGTGCCATTGAACTTTGTGTCATGTGATATAGTACCTATTCAAAATAGTCCATTTTTTAAAAAATTTATAAAAATGTGCCATTCAAGTCAGGGCTTCGGATGTGACTCAGAGAGCACTGGCAGTGTAATTATGGAAGCCCAGGTGATATGTATATAAAAGATCAGTATACAATTTCCTATTTTTGTATATGTTTAGGTTCTCCATAAGATGATTTCAAAACTAACAGGGAAGATATAGATCAGTGGTAGAGCTTATGCTTTGTACCTATGAGGTCCGTCCTGGGTTCAATCCCCAGCACCACCAAAAAAAAAAAAAAAAAAGAAAGAAAAAAAAGAAATTACAAGGAAGCTTTTTAAACTATTCCYATGCCTGCCCTTCTGACCAGTTAAGTCAGAATCCCCAGGGGTGAGGCCCAGAAGCATTCTTCTCCCCACAGTGCTCTAAGYGAGACTAACCTGCAACCAGAGGTCAAAAACTACTTTGGCTCTGGGTGTAGCTCAGTGGTGAATTGCAGACTTAGCACACTTGAGGTTCTGGGTTTGAGCCACAGCACCACAAAAATTAAAAATATAATCCAGGCATAGTGGTGCATGCCTATAACCCAGCTTCTCTGGAAGCTAAGGTGGGAGATTACAAGTTCAACTTAGCAACTGGCCAACTTGGCAAGACCTTGTCTCAAAATAAAACAATAAAAAGGGATGAGGAGGTAGCTCAGTGGTAGAGAACCTGAGCCTGTGTGAAGTCCTGAGTTCAATCCACAGTACCACAAAAATAATTGAAAAASCAAAAACCTACTTCCTTTAAAGGGCAAAAACCACTTTTTTCCCTAGGGGAAAAAATAAGTAMCCTGGGTCCTCTATAGTCATACCAGTCCTAGATTTCTGAGTGCTTCTACTACTRCTGTTAGTGTGCTGCAGTCTTAACTGATACACTGGCCTACCAGGGCCGAGAGGGCCCCAAGGTTTTAGCCCAAAGCCCGTGGGAGAAGATTGTGTATTTCCCTGGAAGGTCCCCTCTGCTGGACAACCACTGACAGCTATACTAGGCCAGAAGGTGAGACAAATTACATTTCCAGACAGTCAGTGCCCTTTTTGATAATCTGGGGACAGGGATGGGGGTGGGAGGGGTGTCATTAGATTCTGAGAACAAAAGCTTCCTTATTTCTGCCTAAACCAGAATGAGATGGGTGGAAGAAGTGCACCTAGTGCTTCCTCAAGGGTCTATGGAGGAACCTGCTGCACCTCTGAGCCCTGATATCCAGGGGCTTGCCTGGCTGCATTTAAGAGGTGCCCCCCCCCCATCTCCTGCTTAGACTTCTTTTTAAAAAAATCTATCTATCCATTCATTCTGGGGACTGAACCCCAGGGCACTTTATCACCAGGCTACACCCCCAGCCTTTTGATTTTTTGTTGTGAGATAGGGTCTCACTAAGTTGCTGAGGCTGATCTCAAACTTGCTATCCTCCTGTCTCAATCTTCTGGGTAGGGATAACAGGTGTGCACCACTGTGCCTGGCTATTGTTCCGGCTTTATCCCTATCTTACCAGTCTGTGTTTCTATCTTTTTCATTGCTCCCGTCACAAATTAGTAACAATAACCATAACCCAGCTGAGAATAGTCACTGAGTGAATTTGACAGTCTAATTTGACAGAAGAAACAGACAGTGGTACAAGGACAGCTTAGGAGGAATGTGGTCTTACAGCAGCATCCATGAAAAAAATCAGTCATGAATCACAAGTATGATGTGGCTGCCACAAGAAGCCGTGTGAGCCTAGGCTGGACACGAAGGAACCCAGGATGAGGTTAGAAGAGCCCTTTTCCACTCTCTCTGGGGCAAGTACCCCTGGAGTACTATGTGTCACACCTGGACTGACAGAGCTAAGCACTGGTGCATGTAACAAGATCCAGAAAGTAGAGTACGGGTGGAGAATGTATGGGTAAGCCATCTGTTGTAATGTGGATATGAAGCATCCCTCAAAAGCTCCTATGTCAATGTTCACAGGTGAAATGATTAGATCATTAGGTTAGCTTGTAACCTAATCATTGGATTAATCCAGTTGATGGATTAATAATTTGAAATGACTGCTTTACTAGATGGTAAGTGTAGCTGAGTGGGGTGTGGCTGAAGACTGGGACATTAGGGGTATGCCCTTGGTGATTATATCTGTCCCCTGGGCTCCTCCAATATGAAGGACTGTACACAGAGCTGTCCAAATATGGGAGGCCTGCTGGGGTAGGTACTGACTTCCCCATTGCTCGACATTCAAATGCATGCAAACTTTGTAAGGTCACCTATGAAAATGCTATCAGAGCAGCAGGATTCACCTACAGGTAGGGTCTGGAGTATGAGCCCTTTCCAACTGAGATTCAAGCAGAYGATCAGGCCAGTTTTTCCAGTTTTTTCCTTGACACTGTCATCACCCACTGTGCCAGCCTCTTTCTGCACCTGAGTCTCCCTCCTGGCCTCTGCCAATGCCTTCACTCTGAGGACATTTAATGTATTCTGACTCAGCTCTGTCCCTGGCCACCCACCCCATGCTCCTTGACCTAACTAGGTTACTTTTCAATCCACCCAGAAGATTCAGAATGACCCTGTGACAGCTTTTCTCTCCCTTCAAATGAACAAGAAGCTTAATTAACTTTCCTATGAGATCAAAACCTTTGTAAAAGTATTTTAATGTCCTTTGGGATTATTTTATCTTCTATATAAAACAATTACCAGAAATCTCTAAAAACAACCTGTTCGACAGATTTTGCCATTTTTTTTTTTTTATGAATCACTTGAAAAAAAAAATTGAAGTTGGACACAGTGGCACATTCCTGAATCCCAATGACTTGGGAGGCTAAGGGAGAAGGATCACAAGTGAGGCCCTAAGTAATTTGGCAAAAATAAAAAATAAGGCTGGGGCTGTAGCTCAGTGGCAGAGCGGCTGCCTTGCACGTGTGTGAGGCACTGGGTTTGATCCTCAGCACCACATAAAAATAAATAAACAAAATAAAGATATTGTAAAAAATAAATAAATAAAAAATAAAAAGGCTGGGGATGTGGCTCAATGGTTAAGCCCCCCCTGGATTCAATTCTGGATACCAAAAACAAAATAATAATAATAATGCAGAAAATCATCTTTTGAAAAAGTCCTTTAATGGAACAAAGTTCTGTGCTCTCTCAAATGCAACGGTTCCCTGTTCAGAGTGACCTCTAATAGCTGAAGCCCATCTCCAAGCTAAATCTCTGCTCTGGATCTCAGGCAAATGCCTTTTAAGAAAATGCTGCAAGATGTGCTAGGGATATGGCTCAGTGGGAGAGTGCTTGCCTAGCATGCCTGAGGCCCTAGATTCAATCCTTAGCACCACACACACACACACACACACAMAAAAAAAAAAAGATTCTGCAGAAAGCCTCTATATATATGTGCTTCTAAAGACACTCAGCTTTCTAGCTACTGGGACTTTGAATTTAACCTGACATCCAGTCTCACTTCCCTCAAATATAACAGAAAGGTATCGCTTATTTTTTCCTTTCTCAGGCTGCAAAAGAGGAAAATGCAGCTGAGCCCACTGAATCCCCTGGAAGAAGGCAATTCCAGAAGTTCTCTAAGAAGATTCAGCAGGGAATGGTGGCACATGCCTACAATCCGAGCAATCAGGAGCCCAAGACAGGAGGATCACTTTAGCCTAGGAGTTCAAGATCATCCAGGGCAACATGACTCCAAAACAAAARCAACAACAACAARAAAACCCCTTCACTTATTTAATACTTCTTTTAAATCACACCAACAGTTCAGTGAAGTCTCTGGACATTTTAATAAACTGACTTTATGTGTAAAATTTTTAAAAAGACAAAAGAAATGAGCCACATGAATACTGTGTGCCTCTAATATGATGTGCTGAGAAARGTACACCTCCTTCTGCAGGCTCCTTGCTAACCATGCATATCTGAATCTAAACACAAGGTAATATGCAAACCCAGACTGAGAGAGATTCTACAGACTGGTAGTCTTCTAGAGTGCTTAGGTCCTGAAYGAAAAAGACCAAGGAACTGCCACAATAGGAAGAGACCAATGAGACATGACAACTTAATGYAATATGGGATTCTGGGTTGTATTCTGAGACCAGAAAAAGATCTATCAGTTGGCCCTTTCTGGTAAAATTTGAAAACATTCTGTAACTGGGTTAATAGTATTGTATCAATGGCAATTTCCTCATTTTGATCATTGTAATATGGTTTATTTCCTTAAAGAAAGTTATATGAAGGGAATTTGGGAGCTTTTATAATATTTTTTGCAACTTTTGTATAATTCTAAGGTTATTTCARAGAAAAAATGGTTTTAGAGAGCATTATGAGAGCTATTCTTTGCCCTGTGAGCCTGRGAATCGTTGTCCTCTGAGAACACCTCTTGATTTCCTTTGCTGGGAGCTGGCATGGAGACATCACTGAGAGCGGGASTCATCACCACCAGCATCACCCAGATGGGGAAAGCGTGACCCTCAAGGTCACTCCACCCTTCGTTGATTACCTTGTTCCATGTTCTCCATCATAGACACTTAGAGTCTTTCCTGGGAGCTGTGACAGGGTCCTGGAGAGGCGGGCAGCCAGCATGGTGGCAACAAGTGATACAATGGTCTGCTTCCTTCCTGTGGTTCTGAAACACAAGACACACCTTCAGCATCACCTCACTGCATTCGGGGGTTTAAGCAGGAAAGGCTGTTTTATTTTATTTCCAGGTTGTTAAAGTCAAACAGGGCTGGGTCTATCTGACCCAGGCCCAGTCCTGGTACCAGGCAGGCCCCTCCTCCACCTCCCTCTCAAGCTACAGCCTCAGGTGATGGCATGTCAGGAGCCAGGGGGTCTGGAAACCTGGGGTCTGGCTCTGGCTGTGCCACCAACCCACTGGGAAGCCCTGAATGAGTAATCACCCAYTTGTAACTTGAAGAGGTTGGACCAGCTAGTGACCCTCAAATCAGGTCATGCAGCAACCACTGGTAGAGTCAGGGACTAGTGCCTTGGGGATGCTGACTCAGTGAAGCCTGTTCCCTTGTCCAGGTTTCTGACATCTAGTAAAACATCCATCTGTGGTGACCGGGACATCAGGCTTCACTTCCAATGTACCCATGTGCCTCTACTGCAGCTTTTGCAGSCCCACACCACTTACCATTGAGCTCAGCTCTCCACCTCCCTCCCCACCCCAGCTAATATGGGGATCTGGCTCTGAGTCTAAATCATCAGAAATTCATTATAGCACGGAGTCTGAAGCTACAAAATGACAGACTCTTTATATTAAAACATATACACACTRGGAACAGTAGTGCAAACCTGCAATCCCAGCTACTGGGAATCTGAGGCAAGAGGATCACAAATTTGAGGCAAGAGGTTCACAAATTTGAGGCCAGCCTGGGCAACTTAGCAAGACCCTGTCTCAAAATCAAATGAAAAGGGCTGGGGTGTACGTCAGTAGTACAGTGTGTGCCTGGCATGCACCAGGCCCTGGGTTCAATCCCCAGTAATACAGAAAAACAGAAACAAACAAAAAACCCAAACCACAACACACACACATATACAAAGTTCCCCATCTCTTCCATTCAATGTTAAATCAAACTATTGCAACAAAGTCATATCATTTAGTGTCACTTTAAGGCTACTTAGCACCTTGACTAGTTGTGCATTATTAACTGTTGATCAGGAGGCACACTAGTTGCCTTCCTGTTCAGTTTACCACTGGTTCCTTCTGACAGAGGAGAGGGAAGGGGAGCTTGGGAGGGAGGTTAACAAGGCAACCAGGGCCTGAAGGAGCTGTTGCTCTTTTCAAGGTCAATAAGTTCTAGCCTCACTTCTGTATGCCTGGCTGTAGTTTGTTATACTATACTTACTTATAATAAGGCACTGCCTAGGAAGCAGCGCCTCCCCAGTCCAGCCCAAACCTAACTGATAACCTAGGGCAACAGGTCAGTACATCAGTTCTTTTTCTGTTACTATAATGAAATATCTGAGATTGGGTGACTTATAAATAAAAGAGGTTTATTTTGGCTCATGGATCCAGTCTAAGGATATGTGGCCACATCTGGTAATGGCCTTCTTGCTGTCAGTCACAAGATAGGTCAGAACATCACATGGCAATAGATGTGTGTGAGTGTGTGTGTATGTGTGTGTGTGTGTGTGTGTGTGTGTGTGTTCTGGTCTTTCTCTTCTCTCGCTTCTTATAAAGCCACCATGATTCAATCATGATGAACTTGTTTAATCCTAATCACCTCCCATAGCTCTACCTCTAAACAGCATGGATGGATTAAATGTCCACCCTATTAATATCTCACAATGGGGATTAAATTTCAACACATGAACCCTAGGGTTCACATTCAGACCATACCAAACCATAGTAGTCAGTAATAAGTTAACTAACCACCACAGCAAGCTCCCTGTAGGAGGCAGGTGAAGGTGTTCRGTGTGTTTAATCCTTAGGAAAGGAAAACAAGCCAGGGTCTCCTTGGTTGATCTCTCCTAAACTGTGCAGTGGACTCTTGCTTCTCCTCCTGCCCCTACTCACCACACTCCACTCTGAGCACTGCAGCCAGAGATATATTTGTAACACCAGAGTGACTGTGTTCCTCCCTTGCTGAGAGCCTCCTTCCCATACCTGTTGGTGCTGACCTCTAGCTCCTTTCCTAACCTTGCCCAGCCTGCCTCTGCTTTCCTCACCATACTGCAGCCAACGCTCACCTGTGCCGGCTCTTTCCTGCATAGACTCTTTCTAAATGGCTGATAAGGCTAAATGGCTTCAGTGTGGCTATCTTTGACTTCCTGCTTGAATATGGTTTGTCCCCTTCAAAACTCRTGTTGAAACTTGTTTTTGCTTTGTTTTCCCCCTTTGAAACTTGATTGCCATTGTGGTGGTGCTGGGAGATGGGTCCTTTAAGAGGTGATCAGGTCGTTCAGAGGGATTAATGCCTCTCTGAGTGAGTTCTCTCTTGGAACAGCATTAGTCTCTGTTGCTGTAAGTTACTGTAAGAGTTGGTTGTTCTAAACCCCTCATGTTTTTACTCTTCTACACATGCCTGATTGACCTCTGCTTTTTCTACCAGGCTACAAAGGAGCACAAAGCCCTTYTCAGAAACTGAGCAAATACCTTGGACTTCCCAGCCTCCACAACTCTAAGCCAAAGTGGACCTTTTCTTCATAAATGATTCAGTCTTGGGTATTTTGTGATACAACAGAAAACAGACTAAGACCCCCACCAAAYTATCCACCTGTGAAACACACACATGGCTTTCTGCAAGATCACTCTTTGTAGCATCTGTYTTAATCCAAAAATTATCTTGCTTATTTAACTTTAGCTTCCCCTACTAGATCATAAGCTCAGTGAGACAGGAGCCTTGTCCATCTTGCTCACCACTGAATCCTTAGTGCCCCAAACAAGCAGGRAACAAAGGAGACACTTGGGAGCCTCTGGGGAGAGTCTTCCAGGGCACTCTRGGGTTAGAAATTCAGCCTTTGACCCAAACTGAAGTTCTCATGGTAAGTACCTTGCAGGCAGCAGCAGAATAGACATGACACTGGTCCTTTGTGGGAAGCCCAGGCCTGGGTTGGCTCTGACTTTTTTGTTTGTTTGTTTTTGATGCTGGGGATTAAACCCAAGGCTTTGCACATACTAGGCAAGTGCTCTACTACTGARCTACATCCCCACCCTGACCCACTTTTTATTTTGAGACAGAGTCTTGCTAAGTTGCCTAGCCTGGCCTTGAACTTATGATCCTCCTGCCTTGGCCTCCTGAGTATAGGCATTCACCACCACACCTGGCTTGCTCCAATTCTTTAMCTAGGTGCCACATACTGACCAACTGGTTAAGCATATACATCCCTATCTCCTCCCACCAGAACCAAAAGTTGGGGTTACCACCTCAGGGTGATGTCAAATGCAGTTGTCTATAATTAGAGTCCTTTTTCCATCCCTTTGGCTCAATGCCTGTGGCAAAATATACCTCAATATAATATCCAAATAGAGGACTGCTTTCAATTTTGTTTTCCTGAAGTGCATAAAAACTSAGTCTCTTGAGTAACACACTATTTTCAAAGTAGTCTCTTATATGAGGAATGGTAGAAATTTAGATTTTTTTTTTCTTTTCTTTTTCTTCCTTTGTGTGTGTGTGTGTAGGGGGGGTATGGGGTATGCACATACTGAACCCAGGGCTTTGCACATGCTGAGCACATGCTCTACCACAGAGCTTCCACACCCCAACCTCTTCTTTTTTAAGTTTCTGAAACACCTTGCTATAGCCATGCTGCTATAGCCACTGTTATACCCAAGGACTCAGCCATTGTTGTTTGTYATCTTGATGTTTTGTGCTGGGCTTTAGTCTTTGTAAAAGAATAATAAGTTCTCAAACTTGAAAAGCTAYCTACTTGTCTTTTGGTTTGGAAACACAACAGAAATGTGGAGGTGGGTACAAGGAGAAAGGCACAGTCCCCATAGGAGTGGGGGACAATCTCCTTAGCCTTGAAACTCAAGTAAGTAGCTGCTCCATACAGACTGGATGAAAGATTTAGCTCCAAGGACCACATTCATAAAATAYTGTCACAGAATAAATGTAATCTCAGAAAATCTGTAATCTCAGAAAAATGTTTCCAGTGCTAGGAACTATCTCYTTTCAAGGGCATCCCCTCTTCAAGGTCAATGCCTAACCCAAGGAAAACCCAGGATGAGCCCTTCATTCTGTCCCCTTGCACTGGAAAAGAATGCAGTTAGCCTCCGTGGAGGGGGTACTTGTGATCTAGCTGCAAGGGGAGGCAGCTATAAGCAGCTATAAGTATGTGTGCGCTCTTGTCTYGGCACTGGGCTCACTATGTCACATTCTGGCAGAGGACACAGCTGGCTGCTTTCCTGTAGGTCAGTGGAGGATCTCCCTAACGGAGACAGAAGAGACAGGACATCTGCAGGAAACCAGGACACAGGAGGCAAGCCTTTGGCAGAGAGGAGAACAGGAAGCCTAGATGGGCCCTTGGCACCACCAAGTGGGAGGCGAAGGCCCTGTCCCACAGAGGAGGGCAAGCTGGGTATAGGCAGGGAAACATCCCACACAGGGATGAGCTTAAGACGATGAACTTCAATGTCAGATTGGAAGTCCGACAATGACAGCTGCCTCCAGCATGTTCTACTTGGCTCTTGTTTGGCCAGTCTGGTGTTTTATTTATTTTTTCATTTTTATTAGTTGCTTAAGCCTATTATTTTAATTAATTAATTAATTAAGTTTTGGTGCTGGGATAGAACTCAGGACCTTGCATGTGCTAAGCATGTGCTCTGCCACTGAGCTGCACCCCCAGCCCAGCCTAGTGTTGTAAGAGGCAACATAATAAGGCAGCTCCATTATGCTTGAACTCAGTTAGGTTTGCACCTACATCTTAAACTGCCACATCACCTTTGTTAACTGCCTGGAAACTAGGCATTTGATTGAGTTCAGAGATCCCAACCAGATAGATGTATATCAGCCTTTGGGCATTTCCCTTCTGGTTATTTAGTACGGTGTTGCTTAAAAGCTCCGGCTCAGTTCAGCAKGCTAACTGCACAGCTAATGAGAGTTTCTTTGAGGTAAAGCAAAAGGGAACCTGATAAGTTTTAAAGCCATCATTCAAAAGACACATACCACCAGGTGCAGTGGCGC